CTGTTACTAACACAGAATAAGCTCTGCGGAGTGCGTCCGTCGATAGCTCAGTTGGCAGAGCGGTGGACTGTAGGTGGTTTCATACGGATATCCATAGGTCGCTGGTTCGACTCCGGCTCGGCGGAAGACTTTTTTTGATGCATATAATAATGTAGAAGTAAAGCATTTAAATGGAATCTTTGTTTTTTTTTATAAGGGTTGCATTTCTCTCAATATCATGAATCGGAGGACGGATGGTTTTCGTAATTTTATTCCTTTTAAACTACAAAATATTTACCTGTTACTAACACAGAATAAGCTCTGCGGAGTGCGTCCGTCGATAGCTCAGTTGGCAGAGCGGTGGACTGTAGGTGGTTTCATACGGATATCCATAGGTCGCTGGTTCGACTCCGGCTCGGCGGAAGACTTTTTTTGATGCATATAATAATGTAGAAGTAAAGCATTTAAATGGAATCTTTGTTGTTTTTTTATAAGGGTTGCATTTCTCTCAATATCATGAATCGGAGGACGGATGTTTTTCGTAATTTTATTCCTTTTAAACTACAAAATATTTACCTGTTACTAACACAGAATAAGCTCTGCGGAGTGCGTCCGTCGATAGCTCAGTTGGCAGAGCGGTGGACTGTAGGTGGTTTCATACGGATATCCATAGGTCGCTGGTTCGACTCCGGCTCGGCGGAAGACTTTTTTTGATGCATATAATAATGTAGAAGTAAAGCATTTAAATGGAATCTTTGTTGTTTTTTTATAAGGGTTGCATTTCTCTCAATATCATGAATCGGAGGACGGATGGTTTTCGTAATTTTATTCCTTTTAAACTACAAAATATTTACCTGTTACTAACACAGAATAAGCTCTGCGGAGTGCGTCCGTCGATAGCTCAGTTGGCAGAGCGGTGGACTGTAGGTGGTTTCATACGGATATCCATAGGTCGCTGGTTCGACTCCGGCTCGGCGGAAGAATTTTTTGATGCATATAATAATGTAGAAGTAAAGCATTTAAATGGAATCTTTGATGTTTTTTTATAAGGTTGCATTTCTCTCAATATCATGAATCGGAGGACGGATGTATTTCGTAATTTTATTCCTTTTAAACTACAAAATATTTACCTGTTACTAACACAGAATAAGCTCTGCGGAGTGCGTCCGTCGATAGCTCAGTTGGCAGAGCGGTGGACTGTAGGTGGTTTCATACGGATATCCATAGGTCGCTGGTTCGACTCCGGCTCGGCGGAAGAATTATTTTGATGCATATAATTATGTTGAAGTAAAGCATTTAAATGGAATCTTTGTTTTTTTTATAAGGGTTGCATTTCTCTCAATATCATGAATCGGAGGACGGATGGTTTTCGTAATTTTATTCCTTTTAAACTACAAAATATTTACCTGTTACTAACACAGAATAAGCTCTGCGGAGTGCGTCCGTCGATAGCTCAGTTGGCAGAGCGGTGGACTGTAGGTGGTTTCATACGGATATCCATAGGTCGCTGGTTCGACTCCGGCTCGGCGGAAGACTTTTTTTGATGCATATAATAATGTAGAAGTAAAGCATTTAAATGGAATCTTTGTTGTTTTTTTATAAGGGTTGCATTTCTCTCAATATCATGAATTGGAGGACGAATGGCTTTCGTAATTTTATTCCGTTTAACCTACAAAATATTTACCTGTTACTAACACAGAATAAGCTCTACGGAGTGCGTCCGTCGATAGCTCAGTTGGCAGAGCGGTGGACTGTAGGTGGTTTCATACGGATATCCATAGGTCGCTGGTTCGACTCCGGCTCGGCGGAAGACTTTTTTGATGCATATAATAATGTAGAAGTAAAGCATTTAAATGGAATCTTTGTTTTTTTTTTATAAGGGTTGCATTTCTCTCAATATCATGAATCGGAGGACGGATGTATTTCGTAATTTTATTCCTTTTAAACTACAAAATATTTACCTGTTACTAACACAGAATAAGCTCTACGGAGTGCGTCCGTCGATAGCTCAGTTGGCAGAGCGGTGGACTGTAGGTGGTTTCATACGGATATCCATAGGTCGCTGGTTCGACTCCGGCTCGGCGGAAGACTTTTTTGATGCATATAATAATGTAGAAGTGAAGCATTTAAATGGAATCTTTGTTGGTTTTTTTATAAGGGTTGCATTTCTCTCAATATCATGAATCGGAGGACGGATGTATTTCGTAATTTTATTCCTTTTAAACTACAAAATATTTACCTGTTACTAACACAGAATAAGCTCTGCGGAGTGCGTCCGTCGATAGCTCAGTTGGCAGAGCGGTGGACTGTAGGTGGTTTCATACGGATATCCATAGGTCGCTGGTTCGACTCCGGCTCGGCGGAAGACTTTTTTTGATGCATATAATAATGTAGAAGTAAGCATTTAAATGGAATCTTTGTTTTTTTTTTATAAGAGTTGCATTTCTCTCAATATCATGAATTGGAGGACGGATGGATTTCGTAATTTTATTCCTTTTAAACTACAAAATATTTACCTGTTACTAACACAGAATAAGCTCTACGGAGTGCGTCCGTCGATAGCTCAGTTGGCAGAGCGGTGGACTGTAGGTGGTTTCATACGGATATCCATAGGTCGCTGGTTCGACTCCGGCTCGGCGGAAGACTTTTTTTGATGCATATAATAATGTAGAAGTAAAGCATTTAAATGGAATCTTTGTTGTTTTTTTATAAGGGTTGCATTTCTCTCAATATCATGAATTGGAGGACGGATGTATTTCGTAATTTTATTCCTTTTAAACTACAAAATATTTACCTGTTACTAACACAGAATAAGCTCTACGGAGTGCGTCCGTCGATAGCTCAGTTGGCAGAGCGGTGGACTGTAGGTGGTTTCATACGGATATCCATAGGTCGCTGGTTCGACTCCGGCTCGGCGGAAGACTTTTTTGATGCATATAATAATGTAGAAGTAAAGCATTTAAATGGAATCTTTGATTTTTTTTATAAGGTTGCATTTCTCTCAATATCATGAATCGGAGGACGGATGTATTTCGTAATTTTATTCCTTTTAAACTACAAAATATTTACCTGTTACTAACACAGAATAAGCTCTACGGAGTGCGTCCGTCGATAGCTCAGTTGGCAGAGCGGTGGACTGTAGGTGGTTTCATACGGATATCCATAGGTCGCTGGTTCGACTCCGGCTCGGCGGAAGATTTTTTGATGCATATAATTATGTAGAAGTAAAGCATTTAAATGGAATCTTTGTTTTTTTTTATAAGAGTTGCATTTCTCTCAATATCATGAATCGGAGGACGGATGTATTTCGTAATTTTATTCCTTTTAAACTACAAAATATTTACCTGTTACTAACACAGAATAAGCTCTACGGAGTGCGTCCGTCGATAGCTCAGTTGGCAGAGCGGTGGACTGTAGGTGGTTTCATACGGATATCCATAGGTCGCTGGTTCGACTCCGGCTCGGCGGAAGACTTTTTTTGATGCATATAATAATGTAGAAGTAAAGCATTTAAATGGAATCTTTTGATGTTTTTTATAAGGGTTGCATTTCTCTCAATATCATGAATCGGAGGACGGATGTATTTCGTAATTTTATTCCTTTTAAACTACAAAATATTTACCTGTTACTAACACAGAATAAGCTCTACGGAGTGCGTCCGTCGATAGCTCAGTTGGCAGAGCGGTGGACTGTAGGTGGTTTCATACGGATATCCATAGGTCGCTGGTTCGACTCCGGCTCGGCGGAAGATTTTTTTGATGCATATAATAATGTAGAAGTAAAGCATTTAAATGGAATCTTTTTTTTTTTTATAAGAGTTGCATTTCTCTCAATATCATGAATCGGAGGACGGATGTATTTCGTAATTTTATTCCTTTTAAACTACAAAATATTTACCTGTTACTAACACAGAATAAGCTCTACGGAGTGCGTCCGTCGATAGCTCAGTTGGCAGAGCGGTGACTGTAGGTGGTTTCATACGGATTCATAGTCGCGGTTCGACTCCGCCGCGAAGATTTTTTTGATGCATATAATATGTGAATAAAGCATTTAATGGAATCTTTTTTTTTTTTATAAGGTTGCATTTCTCTCAATATCATGAATCGGAGACGATGTATTTCGTAATTTTATTCCTTTTAAACTACAAAATATTTACCTGTTACTAACACAGAATAAGCTCTACGGAGTGCGTCCGTCGATAGCTCAGTTGGCAGAGCGGTGGACTGTAGGTGGTTTCATACGATATCCATAGGTCGCTGGTTCGACTCCGGCTCGGCGGAAGACTTTTTTTGATGCATATAATAATGTAGAAGTAAAGCATTTAAATGGAATCTTTGATGTTTTTTTTATAAGGGTTGCATTTCTCTCAATATCATGAATCGGAGGACGGATGTATTTCGTAATTTTATTCCTTTTAAACTACAAAATATTTACCTGTTACTAACACAGAATAAGCTCTACGGAGTGCGTCCGTCGATAGCTCAGTTGGCAGAGCGGTGGACTGTAGGTGGTTTCATACGGATATCCATAGGTCGCTGGTTCGACTCCGGCTCGCGGAAGACTTTTTTGATGCATATAATTATGTAGAAGTAAAGCATTTAAATGGAATCTTTGTTTTTTTTATAAGGTTGCATTTCTCTCAATATCATGAATCGGAGGACGGATGTATTTCGTAATTTTATTCCTTTTAAACTACAAAATATTTACCTGTTACTAACACAGAATAAGCTCTACGGAGTGCGTCCGTCGATAGCTCAGTTGGCAGAGCGGTGGACTGTAGTGGTTCATACGGATATCCATAGGTCGCTGGTTCGACTCCGGCTCGGCGGAAGACTTTTTTTGATGCATATAATAATGTAGAAGTAAAGCATTTAAATGGAATCTTTGTTGTTTTTTTTATAAGGGTTGCATTTCTCTCAATATCATGAATCGGAGGACGGATGTATTTCGTAATTTTATTCCTTTTAAACTACAAAAATATTTACCTGTTACTAACACAGAATAAGCTCTACGGAGTGCGTCCGTCGATAGCTCAGTTGGCAGAGCGGTGACTGTAGGTGGTTTCATACGGATATCCATAGGTCGCTGGTTCGACTCCGGCTCGGCGGAAGAATTATTTTGATGCATATAATAATGTAGAAGTAAAGCATTTAAATGGAATCTTTGTTGTTTTTTATAAGGGTTGCATTTCTCTCAATATCATGAATCGGAGACGGATGTATTTCGTAATTTTATTCCTTTAAACTACAAAATATTTACCTGTTACTAACACAGAATAAGCTCTACGGAGTGCGTCCGTCGATAGCTCAGTTGGCAGAGCGGTGGACTGTAGGTGGTTTCATACGGATATCCATAGGTCGCTGGTTCGACTCCGGCTCGGCGGAAGAATTATTTTGATGCATATAATAATGTAGAAGTAAAGCATTTAAATGGAATCTTTGTTTTTTTTTTTATAAGGTTGCATTTCTCTCAATATCATGAATCGGAGGACGGATGTATTTCGTAATTTATTCCTTTTAAACTACAAAATATTTACCTGTTACTAACACAGAATAAGCTCTACGGAGTGCGTCCGTCGATAGCTCAGTTGCAGAGCGGTGGACTGTAGGTGGTTTCATACGGATATCCATAGGTCGCTGGTTCGACTCCGGCTCGCGGAAGACTTTTTTTGATGCATATAATAATGTAGAAGTAAAGCATTTAAATGGAATCTTTGTTTTTTTTATAAGGGTTGCATTTCTCTCAATATCATGAATTGGAGGACGAATGTATTTCGTAATTTTATTCCTTTTAAACTACAAAATATTTACCTGTTACTAACACAGAATAAGCTCTACGGAGTGCGTCCGTCGATAGCTCAGTTGGCAGAGCGGTGGACTGTAGGTGGTTTCATACGGATATCCATAGGTCGCTGGTTCGACTCCGGCTCGCGGAAGACTTTTTTGATGCATATAATAATGTAGAAGTAAAGCATTTAAATGGAATCTTTGATGTTTTTTTATAAGGTTGCATTTCTCTCAATATCATGAATCGGAGGACGGATGTATTTCGTAATTTTATTCCTTTTAAACTACAAAATATTTACCTGTTACTAACACAGAATAAGCTCTACGGAGTGCGTCCGTCGATAGCTCAGTTGGCAGAGCGGTGGACTGTAGGTGGTTTCATACGGATATCCATAGGTCGCTGGTTCGACTCCGGCTCGGCGGAAGAATTATTTTGATGCATATAATAATGAAGAAGTAAAGCATTTAAATGGAATCTTTGTTTTTTTTTATAAGGGTTGCATTTCTCTCAATATCATGAATCGGAGGACGGATGGTTTTCGTAATTTTATTCCTTTTAAACTACAAAATATTTACCTGTTACTAACACAGAATAAGCTCTGCGGAGTGCGTCCGTCGATAGCTCAGTTGGCAGAGCGGTGGACTGTAGGTGGTTTCATACGGATATCCATAGGTCGCTGGTTCGACTCCGGCTCGGCGGAAGACTTTTTTTGATGCATATAATAATGTAGAAGTAAAGCATTTAAATGGAATCTTTGTTGTTTTTTTATAAGGGTTGCATTTCTCTCAATATCATGAATCGGAGGACGGATGTATTTCGTAATTTTATTCCTTTTAAACTACAAAATATTTACCTGTTACTAACACAGAATAAGCTCTGCGGAGTGCGTCCGTCGATAGCTCAGTTGGCAGAGCGGTGGACTGTAGGTGGTTTCATACGGATATCCATAGGTCGCTGGTTCGACTCCGGCTCGGCGGAAGAATTATTTTGATGCATATAATAATGTAGAAGTAAAGCATTTAAATGGAATCTTTGTTGTTTTTTATAAGAGTTGCATTTCTCTCAATATCATGAATCGGAGGACGGATGTATTTCGTAATTTTATTCCTTTTAAACTACAAAATATTTACCTGTTACTAACACAGAATAAGCTCTGCGGAGTGCGTCCGTCGATAGCTCAGTTGGCAGAGCGGTGGACTGTAGGTGGTTTCATACGGATATCCATAGGTCGCTGGTTCGACTCCGGCTCGGCGGAAGACTTTTTTTGATGCATATAATAATGTAGAAGTAAAGCATTTAAATGGAATCTTTTTTTTTTTTTTTAAAGGGTTGCATTTCTCTCAATATCATGAATCGGAGGACGGATGTATTTCGTAATTTTATTCCTTTTAAACTACACGAAATATTTACCTGTTACTAACACAGAATAAGCTCTGCGGAGTGCGTCCGTCGATAGCTCAGTTGGCAGAGCGGTGGACTGTAGGTGGTTTCATACGGATATCCATAGGTCGCTGGTTCGACTCCGGCTCGGCGGAAGACTTTTTTGATGCATATAATAATGTAGAAGTGAAGCATTTAAATGGAATCTTTGTTGGTTTTTTTATAAGGGTTGCATTTCTCTCAATATCATGAATCGGAGGACGGATGGTTTTCGTAATTTTATTCCTTTTAAACTACAAAATATTTACCTGTTACTAACACAGAATAAGCTCTGCGGAGTGCGTCCGTCGATAGCTCAGTTGGCAGAGCGGTGGACTGTAGGTGGTTTCATACGGATATCCATAGGTCGCTGGTTCGACTCCGGCTCGGCGGAAGAATTATTTTGATGCATATAATAATGTAGAAGTAAAGCATTTAAATGGAATCTTTGTTTTTTTTTATAAGGGTTGCATTTCTCTCAATATCATGAATTGGAGGACGGATGTTTTCGTAATTTATTCCTTTAAACTACAAAATATTTACCTGTTACTAACACAGAATAAGCTCTCGGAGTGCGTCCGTCGATAGTCAGTTGGCAGAGCGGTGGACTGTAGTGGTTTCATACGGATATCCATAGGTCGCTGGTTCGACTCCGGCTCGGCGGAAGACTTTTTTGATGCATATAATTATGTAGAAGTAAAGCATTTAAATGGAATCTTTGTTTTTTTTATAAGGGTTGCATTTCTCTCAATATCATGAATCGGAGGACGGATGGTTTTCGTAATTTTATTCCGTTTAACCTACAAAATATTTACCTGTTACTAACACAGAATAAGGCCGCGGTAGCCGGGTGGTCTAGGTATCGGATCATGGCTAGCGTGTCATGAGTTCGATCCCAGTACCACTAAAGCTGTCGCTGGTTCGACTCTGTCTGTATTCCTATAATAATTTTCAAATGGTCAAAATGAATTATTTTCTCTAAAAAATGGTGGCATTTGTTTCAATCTGGTGTCATTTGAAGGATCTGTTTGTTTGGGAAAACATTTTTTTTTCCATGTACAAAATAGGTAAAATAAATGGTGAACCGTCCTTCTATAATTCACCTCGATTGCTGGCTGCTGCTATTTTAAAAGGGCTATTCATAGTTCGCATCTTCAAATCTGTGTACAGGAATGCATATTTTGATGTATGTTTTTAGTACAAAAAATTGGAATGTAATATTTTTGTTGCTTTAATAATCGTCTAATGAGACATCAATTACATGATGAACGGTTTTTAAACTGATAGACATATGGTCTGTTGTGTGATTTTTCGGGGGTAAAAAAACTCTTACATAATCAATTAAAAAAAGGAATTCAAGGTGTATAAATTTTTAGCAAATATTTTTTTTTGATTTTTTGCTCTTAAACATGCCTTATTCGAACAATTCTATCTTTCATTTAGTTCCTTCCTCCCCCATCCTCCCTGTCATTAAAGAATTTTTATTAATAATTATAGTTTGAATAAACTAAAAAACACGCTTTTTGAATCGAACTAAAAAGTAAAAAAATAATTCTTAATAAAGAATAAAATGATTAACGAGAAAATGAATGTAATTGGGGTAAAAGCGTGGGGTGTTCTATAAATGTATCAATTGTTATAATTTCTAACTTCTATTCCGAAAAGCAGAGTGAGTGTAAAAATGTAGTACAAAGCACCCCACGCTTTTACCACAATGACATTCATTTTCTCGTTATAATCATTTTATTCTTTATTAAGAATTATTTTTTTACTTTTTAGTTCGATTCAGTATAAAAGCGTGTTTTTTAGTTTTTTTTTCAAACTATAACTTATTTTTCATTTTTTAGTTCGAACTACAATAAAAGCGTGTTTTTTAATTTTTAAACTATCATTTATTCATTGTTGAATTTATCCTTGAGTTTGATATTTGAAGCTGGAATTACGTGGCTGGGGAATTAGTCTTGCTCTACAATGGATATTAATTAACGGGTATGAAGTGTATTTATTCTCTCTGTTTACGAGGCCTCGGATGAGTCCCGCATCGTTATATTAGATCCCGTCTCTTTTGAACAGATCAAACAAATAAAAGTGTGTAAAGACGAAAAAGTTCGAATTAAAATTTTTTTTAATGTACCATGTTTTTATAACGGACTAAAAATTATAAAATTCCTCCTTCTCGTTTTTGTTTTCTTTTTTCACATTTTCATGCATTGTCATCCGCTTCTGAGCTATGGTCCAAATTTCAAGTCTCTAGCATCTCGGAAAGTCACACAGTTTAAAATCAATTGCAAAATTCCACCCGGACAAACATTAAAGAAAGCGAGTTAATAAAAACATGGTAATATTAAGTGTTAATCGTTTTTCACCTTTTAAACGTGTTCCTTTCATGTTAATTGGTATCATCACTTCTAAACGTATTGCTTTATAAAAATAAAAAAATATTTAGCAGTTAGAACGTAATTTTTTTTCACATGCACGAGCCTTTTTTTTATTTTCATTTACAGAAAAATGTTTATATTATGGTAAGTAATTGCTAACTCACCTCAGTAATTGCACCCTCCACTTTCTCAAATACAGAATACTTTTCTTGTTTGTTTTATTTCTATTAACTGCAAGTGCATTTTATACTTGCATATAATTAGCTTTAAATTCAAAACACTCTTCTTAGGGTTGCACCTTATTCTTTTAGTCGCTAAATCTGAAATTAGTCGCCAAATCTGGAAATGATGAATGAAATTAGTCGCCATATCTGAAAAAGGTATGTGGAACCAGTCGCCAAATTTAAAAATTATATATGCAATAAGTCGCCAAATCTGGAAGTGGTATTTGGAATTGTCGCCAAATCTGATTATCCCGATTCCTGACGATCATGAAAAGGACACTGGAACAAAATTATGAAATTA